TTAACGAGTGCACGTGCACCCTCTAGAGGGGTGGATCCGCCTCTATGATACTCATTTTTCACCAAGCACAATTGGGGCAAGCAAATTTTCTGTTACCCACTTGCCATTGTGCACAAAAATTAAAGGAACTCGAGACAAACACATCAATGAGGATTTTTTTTTCTTTGGGTGACTTTTAAGAATAATGCTCTTTGTTAAAGAGAGAATAGAATTGGTCATAAATAATAGTGTGATATGTTTAATAGCTTAAATTTTTAGATGAGATTGTCACACAATTTAATATGTTGTCAGCATATAGAAGCCCTCATCTGAGAATCCTACCACCATCTATTAACAAAAAAAAATAAAAATTCACAAGTTTGACCCATAAAAAAGAATCATGATCGCATGTGGGGAGGCGTGTTGAAGAGATTCAATTGATTATGGATCAACCTCCTCTACCCTACCAACATGGGTTGTGGTGCACGGGTGAGAGTGCTTCACCCTTAACCAGATGTCTCAGGTTCGAGCCCTGGGTATGGAGAAAATCCTATTGAGAGCGCCACCCCCGAATGGGCCCTGCAGAGCGCGATCCGGATTTAGTCGGAGCTGCAATGTGGGCTCCAGACACCAGGTGAGAAACAAAAAAAAAAACCTCCTCTAGACCTCTACCCTTTGTCTACTTTAATATCAAAATGTTTTCTACGCTTCAAATGTCACTGTGACGTGTGTTTAACCAACACATCATGCACTGTTCTCTTTCTACTGGACCAAATTAAAGCTTGGGGTTGAATTTGTAGTATTAATTATAATGCAAGAAATAATATTGATTGCTTACCTGAACTAACATCAAAGGACAACCAATAATCCCATCAGATCCTGGCTCATTATATAGTATCTCTTCTAAGTATGGACATGGTGGTATTATAGAGTCTCCTAATTTCTCAAGCTCCACATTTGCCTCAGCTTCAATAAACATGATTCCTTCACTATTACAATTTACCATAAGCTTCCTATTAGGCCCTTCAATGATCCTACCAGCTAATGGATAGTAAAACACAAGTGTATTAGACAATCCATCTTTTATGATCTTTTCCTTCCATTGAAGAATTATATTTGTAAAACATTAGTATCGGCATTTGAATACGAAGACCTTCTTGATCATCTATATCTGAAAGATGTAATATTTCCTCCGGTGTTTTATTTTGTGGAACTATCAATTCTGACTTATGTCTTCTCCATGAAATCACAGAAGGGCTGGGAATAATTGCCATGGTATATAAAGCAATTTGAGCAAGTATGGTTTTTGGGTTAGAATTTTGGATGGGTAGTGCAAAAAGAAATATTAAGGTAAAAACTGGCATAAATATATAGCCTTGTATTTTTCTTTCTTGAGGATCACTTTACAAAACACAATTTCTTTATATATACAAGTCCAAAGTACTCGACACTCACTACAACAAAAACAACTTTTAGCGGCAATAAATATTGACATTAATAAAGAGTGATAATGTCTTTATCGGCATTAGTTAAATGCCATTAGAACCAATGTCGCTAAAGGCTTTAGGAACATATGCAAAGAGTGCTAATTGCCGCTAATGATCATTTTAGATGTAGTGACTTGAGCAATTTAATAAGAGTGTGTCAAAAGTCAGAACTTATTTCAACTTCTACCAAACAAATTTCTAAACTCAATCTTGATTTAGCATGTGCAATAATATTGATTCTAAATTTTCTTAGGTTTGGCAAATGACCAGCACTATAAGTTTAGTGCTTTGCTAGTAAAAAATAGTATAATATAAAGATCGTCTTCATAAGATTGGTACAAATACAATCATAGTTGCAACTTGCATGATGATAGTAATACAATCATAGTTGCAACGGGCGACTACACTTGACTCTTGACTATACCTACTAATCTTCTAACATAATCTTCAAACTCCTATCCTGAGTAAACTGAAACTGTTCATATCTCAAATTAAGGTAATCGGATTACATGTCGAGTAAAATTAGACTGCCCACATTAATTGCTGAATAAAATAAATAATGAAGTCAAAATAGGCCCTTCTTTGGTTTCTTCGATAGCAGCTTCCCGTTCTTACCTCGATCCCAAGTTATCTATCAATCTCTGTGTTTCCTTTTCCCGCCAGTTTTTTTGATTTTCTGCATCATGGAGTGGATATTAATTATCTGATAAGTAATAACTCCATTGTGCAATGGATACATTATGTATTAGCAAAAAAATTCCATTTAATCTACATCTTTTATTTGAACTTATTTAGTATATGTGTTAAAAGAATGACAAAAGTCCCACATCGGTGGACTCCTTATAAAACTTGGACAATCCTCCTCCCTTTGAGCTAGTTTTTGGGGTGTGAGTTAGGCCTAAGACCTAATCTAACATGGTCTCAGAGCAGGGCACGTCTCACCCGATGTTGGGAACCCCAAAATCAAAAATTACCCACGTACCAGATGCTAAGCACTGGGCGTGAGGTGGGGTGTTAAAGAATGACAAAAGTCCCACATCGATGGTTAATGAAATGAGTGGACTCCTTATAAGGCTTGGACAATCCTCCTCCCTTTGAGTTAACTTTTGGGGTGTGAGTTAGGCCTAAAACCTAATCTAACAATATGTTTAAGCACATTTAAACGATTTGAGCTTATAGTGTTTGGATAAACCCATAATATGTACATTAGGTCGCACTGACTCCACGTGTGAAGCAAAATCTACTTCATACTGATTGCTTATTCAGAAAATTCATATAGCAACAACAACAATATACCTGATACACAATTTCACAAGTGGAGTCTGGAGAGTGTAAAATATACACAAACGTTATCGCTAACTTTATGGAATAGCAGTAGGTTCGCGGTTACAGTTTCTCCAATTTTTTCTATTCACCTAATTGTATAATTCGTCTGATTTGTATAAATTCAAAATTTGTATAATTCGATTTTTGATTGTACAATTCCAGAATTTTGTATATAGTTACCCTAGCTATTTGTATACTATTTACGAAAAATTCATAGTAAATTACCATGTTTGTATATTGGCAAGCGAAATATATAAAAGGAGTTTTGAAAAATTCCTAAATATATAAATACATAATTTGTATATACTTACCTTATTTGTATATTCGCAAGCAAAATATACAAATGGACAGAATTATACAAACTGCAGCCTCCATAGCAAACATAATTATAGCTATGAAGCGCAATTATTGATACTATAACTATGAAGTGCAATTATGTCTGTTATTTCTAAATTTTTCTCTTTGATTAATTGTAATTCATAGCTCCATGTTTTTGAGGAAGAGAGAAGCGAGTGAAATCTGGAAGAGAGGTGTGCATACAATTGATACAACTGATTTGTATCAATAAATATAATGTATCAAAAGTTATTGTATTAAGCTACATGTTAGGAAGAGAGAGGTGAGCGAGATTGAGAGAGAGAGGAGAGATGTGAGTGAGATTGACAGAAGGAGGATAGAGCTGAGTGAGATTGGGAGAGAGAATGAATATATGTTGTATCATGAATGCAATCAATACATACTATAAATATTGTTGTTAGAATACAATTGATATATAATACAAATCTAATCTCTCACTTATATTTGATTGAATACAATTGATGCAAAATAAATTTGACAGAGAGGATGAATACATATTGTATTCGTTGTATCACAAATACAATTGATTCATTAATACAAGTTAACGATCATTGGGATCTATTAATACAAGTTAAAATTTACACGATCATTGAGATCTATTAATACAAGTTAAAAATTTGTAATATCTACTCATTACGTGATGATTATATACAGTGTAATGAATTATTTTAAATTAGTCTTAATGATGTCTTGTTGTGGTTTTGGATTTTTTTGCATCTAAACAATATATTAAATGTGGTAGCCATACAGTGTAATGAATTATTTAAAATTAATCTTAATATCTTGTGGTTTTGGATTTTTTTGTATCCAAAATTATATTAAAAGTGGTGGCTATAAATAATCAATTGTTGAGATGGCCGAGTTGGTCTAAGGCGCCAGATTAAGGTTCTGGTCCGAAAGGGCGTGGGTTCAAATCCCACTCTCAACATTATTATTTTTTTAATCATTTTGTTTTATCTTTTCAAATTGTTTAATATATTTTTTTTTTTGTCAATTCTCTTGTGTGATGATAGGAAAAAGTATTAAGTATTCACATCGTAAATTAATATTCTTTTCATGAGTTTTTAAAGATAACTGAATGAGCCCTAGACCACTATTTTACTTTTGAAGGAACAAACATTTATCGTATGCTTATGTTCAATTCATAAAGTCTGTATGCAGTTTCAATTTGTTTGTATAGTATGGAGTTGGGATCGTTGTAACTAAAAAATATTTACGTGACATGTTTAAAATTAAAAGATATTTTATAATATAAATTTTTAATTTTTTTTATATATTAATTTTTATACCCATTCAAACATTACAACAATAACGTACTCAATGTAATTTCACATATGAACCTAATGAAGGTAACATATGTGTAGATTTTATGTCACATGTCTAAGAGGGTAGAGGTTCTAGGAAAAACAATTCAAAACAGTTTGAAAAGAAATGACATAAGATAAGAAGTCAACTAAAAAATTATGACAAAGTAGTATGATAAAAGGAACAGTATCTACCACAAAAATAATATGATAATCGAAATAATATGGTCGAGTAACAAAAATAAATGAAAGAAGAAGAAATTAGAAGATAGTAGTAACATGCGTATTTGGCATAATTGCATTAACTAGGAAGTTGCCAAAAAAGAGAAGGTGTAATGGAGAAGACACGTGGTCAGAAAAGCAGAAATGAAGGAGGTGTCCAAGTGTGTGTACACTTTGCCGAACAAATCCTAAGCCTTTTTGCCCTCACACAATACTGACGGTGCGGAGTTATCAATTAGCCCACACTAATATATATATACTCACTCAAAATAGAAGAAGAAATATTCACTTCATTCAACAAACACCATTTTTTTTTTGTAAGTTTAAGCCATAAACTAACAACAATGAGTACTGCTGGTCAGGTCATTCGCTGCAAAGGTGATTCATTTCTTGTTTTGCCTTTTTTTGTTGTTTTTTTTTTTTCTATATCAAGGATCTGAAAGTTGTGATTTTTGGAACTTTCTTGTTTGTTATTTGGAAAAAATATGAGTGAAAGTAAAATTTCTTTTCTGAATACAGATTTTTCAAAATCTATGGCCTTTTTTTATGCACTTGTGATTGATTTTAATTAAATTGTGTGTAGCTGCGGTTGCATGGGAAGCTGGAAAACCGTTGGTAATTGAAGAAGTGGATGTGGCACCTCCACAGAAACATGAAGTTCGCCTCAAGATTCTCTTCACCTCATTGTGCCACACTGATGTTTACTTCTGGGAAGCTAAGGTCCTTTTCTTCAACCTTACATTTCTAATTTTATCACTTGCTCAAACTTTTAACAATGTTTCGTCTTGACCCTTAAGCAAATTTTTTCCATCTTGATGGTGTACTTAAATCCTCTGTTTTGCTGCAGGGGCAAACACCTCTGTTTCCTCGAATTTTCGGACATGAAGCTGGAGGGTATGACCCTTTATGTTTAGTTGATTTTCTTATGTTATTTTCAAACTGATTCAGTATATATATATATTCTTATACTTGCTGTAGAATTGTGGAGAGTGTAGGTGAAGGTGTTACAGATCTCCAACCAGGAGATCATGTTCTTCCAGTGTTCACCGGAGAATGCCAGCAATGCCGTCACTGTAAATCATCCGAAAGCAACATGTGTGAACTCCTACGAATAAATACAGACAGAGGAGTTATGATTAGTGATGGTCAAACAAGATTTTCCAAGGATGGGAAGCCGATATACCATTTTGTTGGAACTTCCACTTTTAGTGAATACACCGTTGCTCATTCTGGTTGCGTCACCAAGATTGATCCACAGGCACCACTTGACAAAGTTTGCGTCCTGAGTTGTGGAATCTCAACAGGTTTTATTGAACTATAGCCAATTACTCGTTATAATTGGATATTTGTCTTATGGAGTTCATGTTTTCTCAAGGACTTGGTGCAACTCTGAATGTTGCCAAACCTACTAGAGGTTCTACTGTGGCTATTTTTGGTTTGGGAGCTGTTGGCCTTGCTGTGAGTACACCTCTATTTTTTCGATGCAATTTTCGTTGTCATAACCACGTGTTTGAGAATGTTTTCTCCGTCATATTGTATTAGGCTGCTGAAGGAGCTAGGCTAGCTGGGGCTTCTAGGATCATTGGCATTGATTTGAATCCCAGCAGATTCAATGATGGTGAATGCATTTGATTATCGATATACAAGAATGTAATGTCCGTAATCAATTCTTATAAATTTGTTTTGATTTTCTACAGCCAAGAAATTCGGTGTCACAGAGTTTGTGAATCCAAAAGATCATGATAAGCCTGTCCAGGAGGTTTGTGTGTGTGTCTCTGGCATATCCATCTTGTTTCTACATGACATAACATATCATGTGAAGTGTTTGTTTGCAACTTCTTGTCTGAGGTTTACGCGATGATTTTCAGGTAATCGCTGAGATGACCGATGGAGGTGCTGACCGGAGTGTAGAGTGTACTGGAAATGTCAATGCTATGATCTCCGCTTTTGAATGTGTTCATGATGTAACAATTCTCATCTGTTATATCTTTTTTTCCATCTCTTTAATCACACAAATGTAAGTGTGAACAATCTTATGACATACTTGATTTACAGGGTTGGGGTGTGGCTGTGCTTGTTGGCGTGCCAAACAAAGACGATGCATTCAAAACTCATCCCATGAATCTGTTGAATGAGAGGACACTCAAGGGCACCTTCTTTGGCAACTACAAACCCAAAACTGACCTTCCATCTGTGGTGGCCAAGTACATGAATAAGGTAATCCTTTCACCATAGTATTTATTAATAATACTCGAACGACTGTCCGTGCATAGAAGTTAAACTTTAATCTGGAGTAAATTTTTCAGGAACTAGAGCTGGAGAAGTTTATCACCCATCAAGTACCATTTTCAGAGATAAACAAAGCATTTGACATTATGCTGAAAGGGGAAGGCCTGCGTTGTATGATCACTATGGGACATTGAAATATGCTAAATAGGGAGAATAGGACAATATATTATCCCCTATTACCTAGTAAAAATTATGTTAAGTAGAGTTTGAAGGCAAAGTATATGTGTTCTAAAAGGCCCGAGTTTGCTTAACATATTATGTAATAAACTACTGATATTTGCATGTTTTGTAAGTCTTTTTGAGTTTTGGTCATTTACATGTTATATTCATAATGTTGTGCTTTAAAACAAATTTTAGAATATTTGCATTACGGAATGGCTTTTGGATTTATCACCTTTTTGAGAACAACATTTTAGTCACATGAATGTTGTTTTTCTAGTTGATTGAATCATAACATTACATGAAAAAGGAAATAGCAAAAAGAAATTGTAGCACTAGAAGTCCTAATTCAGGCTACAAATACTATATACTTTGATCTTTTAGATTACAATAGATCATTAAAACACCTTCAATGACTACAAGAAGTTTGGTTTTTATGTTGCAACAAGAAATTCCTTGGATCTTATACAGGGTTTACATTCCTAAAGTGCATAGGCTATCTCTGAAATCCAGGGTTTGGAGAGGGTAGTAGAGTGTACACAAATCATACTCCTATCTTGTGGAGGTAAATAGGTTGTTACGGGAGAACCTTCCGACTTGACATTAAAATAGGTATGAAAAGGAGAAAATGCCAGTGGAGAAACAAAGCAACTAATAAGAAAAGAGTAACAAACACAGAATAATGCAATAACCTAAACACAATCAACAACAAGTGATGGTGGAATCAAAAGCAAGACACTGAACCCCTCGAATATCAAGTCAACAATGCAGGAATAAATTTTCAAAATTCTAACTTTATTTTTGTTGTTCCACATCATATTTTTACTAATAATCCAATACACATATTATCTGATTATACCTATGAAATATAATTGGATAACCTTAAACTGCATTAATTTTTTGCAAATATGGTTTAACTTTTTATTTATTAAGATTGTCCCAAAATGAAATACAACAAATATATTTAACATTGCATTTGTAGCTTTATTATTGATTAACATTACATGTAAAAGAACCACAGGAACCTTCCTCAATACCATATGCTGAATAATTTGACATTGCAACTAGACCTTGGCTGATGTACCCCATTTGCCAAAAGCACTTTCACCAAATCTTCTAAGGAAGAGCACTTGATTCATAGCAGAAATGCCAAACTTGAACATTCTTGCATTTCAAAAGGATCAGTTATGAACCAGAAATCAGTTCCTTCAACGATTTCAACGGAGAATTATAACCATATACTTGTGTGTCTCTCCAGAAGCTGAACACTGTTTTCAGCCAAAAGAAGAAAAGAAAAGAGGAGTCATATTGCCATCAGCTAAATGCAAACGTTTAACACGCTGGGAAGGGGGAAAAGGCCATCATGAGAGGGGTGACTGGCTGAGCCATCGATGAACAAGGCATGGAGTTGTTGCCAAAACAGTATAGTTAAACGTGTGAGAGACAGAATGTTAAAGTTAAAACAAAATAAATGAAGTGAGAATGTACCCAGCCATGCTACAAAGGCAGTTGTTGAAGCCAAGAAAAATTCCCTGCTTATAACTTTGCAGCTGGATGTAGAACAAAAGGGATTTAGTAAGTAGAACAATGCTCAATTCTTGAATAAATCTTGAAAACTATTGAGCACAGCACTTCTGCACAACTTACCAATATAAGCAGACAAGGTTTCCCCATCCATAAAAAACGCATGCCCAAGTTGAACCAGTGAACCTGTTATTAATTAAGAAGAGAAACAAGATGGGAAAATTAAACACCATAAAGAAGAACTAAAAGAAATACTCAGCATAACTGGACTAATACAGTTGACCAGGTGGTACATTTTTGCACAGGCATCAGCAAATCACATTGTATTTTTAATTTATTTTAAAAAGTAGGTAAAATTTAATGAAGAAATTTGCAAAAGAAAATTTGAATTACACCAAATGTGAACAAATTTAGTTCTGAAGGTTCACAATAACAAAAAAGAAAAGGAAGAAAACAAGAACCTTATACGAAAAAAAAAAAAGATGTAGAAAAAAGGGACAATGATGCTGATACGCAAAAATAAGTAGGTGATTTGAGGAACTCTAGATCTAATTTGACAGCTAAAGAAGAAAAGGGAAGTTTGTAATGCAAGGAAAAACAATTGTAAGATGCCATACCACATCAAATCCCGAGTAAAGAGTGCTCGTGGAATCATGAGTCCATTCCCAATCATTGCAAGCAGCATCGAAAGAGCTGATAAACCTTTTATATTATCTGGATTTAGAAGGTTTGTCCACTAGACAGAAGGTATAAGTCAGGATGAGGAACCTCAAACTTGTGAAAAAACTACGATCTGACAATTTTACTCCAAAATAACTTTATAGAAATTACCATTTGTGAAACTGGCATCCACATGAAAAGAAGAGTGGCAGTCCATCCAGATAATGATCCTACAAATTTGATACCCTTCTCTGGAAGTTTCCCAGTCCGAGACTGTAAAGAACAGTAGCTTGAAATTCAGAATAGTTCAGATCCATGTTCTCATTCTCTCAAGCTTAACAAAATTATCTTCCCACATAAAGTGCATACAAAAGTCTCTAGCTTGCTCTTGAGCCAACGAAAAGGAACACAAGGTAATTGTTAATCCTAATCGAGTTAGTGTGTGTAATCTAACAATATCAAAGTAAAGAAAAATCAATGTGAGCTACTGCCTTTGCGACATTATTTGGTAACCTGAAAGTTAAGAGTTCTCTTATACGTGTGATGTATGGAATAAAAGCAAGCAGAAAACTTTCAGATCAAGTTCCAGTTATGGTCACCATAGAGCAAACTGACAAAGAAATCATAGTAAGCCACTACATAAGCTTCCATACTTCCAGGCACATCAGTCAGATGTGACAATCTCCCTGCAGAATTTCGAGCTTCAACATGCATTCCATTATTGTACCTTCAAATAGAATACGCTATTCAATAAGAACACAAAGGGAAAAGACTCATCAAAATCCAGGATACAAGGGCTCAATTGCCTAGTTCAGCCACCACTTAAGACTTGCCCTTCCAGTTTATATCAGAAAACTGAAACCTTTCATAAATATTAAGGAAGAAATATGAAAAGAATTGATCGACTGATAGCTAGTTATCCCACCAATGCCAGAGAGGTGTCATCTCTCTTCCTCAGTCATGAATAAAGAAAAAAAACCCTCTTTGCTTCTTGTGTGGCCACAGTAGTTCAGAAACAACACCAATTTGAACATAGAGTTGAGCATTATCCCAGTGCAGATGTTGAGTTGTGTTCTTCTAGCACTCCTCAGAAAATACAACCCTCTTATTAGAATGATTTTCAACATTGCCTTTCTATTTATCAAGTCAAGCAAAAATATATATCTTCTTTTTCTGGCATTGCGATATTTTACTTCAGTTAGTTCACTTCAAGGCAGAATGACAGATATGGCCATTTCAACATTATCCTTGTAAAAGTAACCACATGTACAAGCTGCAGATGTCAAAGCTTACCATAAAGACAGCTAGGACAGCCAGAACGAAAGCTACAGCACCAGGCAAGATGGTATTTGGAACATATGGGATGAAAGTTGACCACATGACCTGTACAGTGCATGGTGCAGAGTGCCAGAACAAATATAAGAATTTATCGACCAAATTATCCATATGGATGAGTAGAAAATGAAAGAAAAGAGAGGGCGATTACTTGGGGAAGCGCAGATAAGCCAGCAATAGTAATGAAATCCTCCCAATAACGCCAGATTACGGGATTGAGCAAGTGGAAGTAGTTCATGAAGTTCACAACAAGACCACAGGCAATAACAACAGAAGTGACTGCATAATGAGGTAAAGGCATAGATCCAGCCATGGCTAGTTGTGATATCACAATATAAATGGTCACGACGCCCAAAGTTTGCACAACAACCACTTCCGTCTCCCTCTTCTTAATAAAATATGATAGCAAAGACAAATTACCAAGCAATCCAGTGAACATCCCCTGTAAATGTTCATCTCAGAGTATTTATCACTCAACGTTAATAAGACCACAGTTATAAGTAGCTAAAATAGAAGTAGAATACGATACCAGCCATGGAACAGCAAATAATGCAGCTTGATTTCCTGCTAGAAGGTTACGAGCATTGAGTATTATTTGAGGCAGTTGTAATATGAGAAACGGAATATTTGCAGCTCCTGCAAATTTTGCAGTCAATGAATCCCATTGCTTAAAGCTCTCGCTACTCTTTAAATCTTCAGAACTCTACATTTAACATCACTGTTAGGCCATATTTCATTACCTCCAACTGAACCAAAGCTTACTTTTAAAAATGAGCCCAAAAACCACTATTAGATGCATATGGAAGGGGATAAGTACCTGATCAATAAGGCGGGGAACATCTGAGTCAAGCGCAGAAACCGGTTTTAACCGGTATTGGCAAACTAATGGACTTAAGAGCACCGATTTGTTCAAAGTATCGTTTTGTTTGACTCTTTTCTTAAATAGAGGGAGAATTGGAATTGACTTTGGATGCTGGAGATCAGCATTGAAGGTATAACAGTTGGAGGGTTGGCGGGAACGTAGGACTGCCTTACCCACTGGCAACAAAGATCCAGCCATTCAAGATATCGAAAAATGAAGGAACTATAAGTTTATATTCATCACCAGCTGTAAGGGAGATATCAAAAAAGGTCAATCGTAGTGGCTACAAAGGTAACTCCCAAAGAGGCAGCTGATCCAACTTCTAATGGTTCTCCACTAAAATGAAAAGACAATTACTGGTAAGCTCCAGCACAAAGTCCAGCCGGTACCAAATCTACATCAAAAAGCAAAAAGCATGAATTACCCCCAAAAAAACACAAATTAGGACAGTAAACTAACTAGCCCAACATACTTCAATCCTTTTAGCTTTAATAAGAAAGAACAAAATCAGAGACACCGGAACATAACAAACTTCTTTAATTTCCATCAGTCCAACTCACTGTGTGTTGAATCAGTGTCCTGAACCTTGGCTATACATTGACTTCAGAATACATAATCCGAACAAGTTAAACAATCTATAATACATTACCGCAAACCAAGTCTGAAGCACACAAAGAACGTGAACCGGGGAAAGGGGAAGAAGTATGTCCGTATGAAGGTGTCATCTCAGAACATGGAACAAAAC